GAGATGGAGAAGGATGGGAAGCTGCCCTTTCTAGATGTAACAGTCATGGAAAGGAGCGGAATTTTCCACACTGCAGTCTACACTAAGGAAACAAACATAGGAATGGGCCTGAATGCCAACAGTGACTGCCCAGACAGGTACAAGAGGAGTGTTGTTAACGCTTATGTCGACCGTGCTCTCAACCACAGCTCAGAATGGAAGCAAGTCGACGAAGAACTCTGTAGGGTAAGGCAGGTCCTAGTCAACAACGGCTTCTCCAATGGTTTCGTGGAAGACATCATAAAAAGGAAAGTGAAACGCCATGCAACCTCTGAAGAGACAACTAACACAACACCTATACCCCCTATTAGACTATTTTACAGGAACTTCTTTTCCACAACCCATAAAACAGAGGAAAGGGTCCTGAAAGATATTGTCAGTAGAAACGTTATCCCTACAGACAAAAATCAGAAGATACAACTGACGATTTACTATAAAACCAGAAAAACGGCCAGCCTACTCATGAGAAACTCTCCAGACACAAAGCAGAACGCTTTAAAAGAGACCAACGTCGTCTATGCCTTCAAATGCCCTCTTGGGGACTGTAAGCCTAAAAAAAAACAGTATATAGGCAAGACAACAACATCTCTTTCCAGGCGTTTAACGGTGCATAAGCAACAGGGCTCCATTAAGGAACATATAATCTCTTCCCACAAACAAACCATCACCAGAGAAATCTTAGCAAACAACACAGAAATCATCGATAGATACAGCGATAGCAGGCGGCTTGACGTCTGCGAGGCACTACACATCAAGAAGTCAACACCAGCAATCAACAGCCAATTAATGCACAACTATATTCTACCCACTTCAAGACTCCGCTCCAATATAGAAGCATCAAGAAATATGGACCAATAGGCTTTCTACAATTACTTCCATTCAATACCCATTGTTTCGTGTTCTGTCTTGTGTTTGAATTTAATACCCATTGAATACCCATTGTTGAAAGTTTGTTTTCACCTCATCCACCTCACCCAAATGCAGATATAAACTCGAAGATGTGTAAGCTCTATTCAGTTTCAGTTGTGTGTTTGTAAACTAAAGTCTTTGAAAATGTAATAAGTTTTACGAAACGCGCTCAAGTGTCGCGTCAGACTAGAAATAAAAATGAATTTTGGAGAATTGATCTTTGAATTACCATCAACAGTGAAAAGAAACGTGAGAAAGATAGAGAAAATTCGTGTTAGAATTATTAATCTTACTTTTTCGGTCATATTTAATAATGTGTCTACAGGAAAGACTGCTACCAATATATATATATATATATATATATATATATATATATATATATATATATATATATATATATATACGTATATATATATATATATATATATATATATATATATATATATATATATATATATATATATATATATATATATATATATATATATATATATATATATATATATTGCATTGGGGTCAGGCATATTTCAAGAGTATACGAGGTATACATCCTATACTCGTGAAGTATAAGAATATACATGGCGAGGAATACCCTGCCTCTCGATATATATACACTGAGAGTTTACTTTTGTCTACCTTGCTTCTCGCTGTAAACTAGAGTTTCCACCTGGACTTTAATTATACTTACTGATTGGAGAGTAAGGTATTTTGTTGGCCTTAATAACCCTCTAGAGATTCATGGGTCTAAATTCTAACACCAGAAAGGAATTCACAAGCAACTGTGAGTAACATATCTAGCGGAAGGAAGATTCTTGGAGACATAATCCCTACATGTGAAATCCCCCCATGGAAGTAGATTAGCACAGACGTTGCCAGTGACAGTCAGGCTCACTCAAACAGACACTCAGACCTTGATAGATGAAATCCCTGAGAACTATGACAACACAATCAAAGATTAGAACACATGTCATGCGCCGAACATTGCAAACGTACGAAATCGATAACCAGAGCATTTCAAGCTTACGAAATCGTTAAGCAGAACATTTCAATCTTCGAAATTGTTAAACAGAACATTTGAAACGGATAAAATCATTAAGCCCGAAACAACCCATGTTGGATTGGACCGAACTTTCAAGCCTCCTCTCTCCATATCCCAATCCTTTTCCAAGAATTTCACCGCCCCGTCCTTCATCCTCCCACCATCTTTTCCAAGTTCTTTGGAATAGAAAGTTGAAGCCCCGAAACATTTCTAAACTATATCAATTTAGAAAAGCTATCTGCATTTTTATTATTAATTATTCTTCAGTTTCCTATTCACTCTCCACTACCTCCAAACGGTCCCGATTCCTTCCAAGCAGAGACCTCTTCCTGCGAATAGTCTCCCCCTTCCTTCAAACATTCTTTCCTTCCATCAAACAGCAGCCAACGAATTTTTTTAGGAGAAATAGATTGGAAAGTCTTGGGCATGGGGGTGGGCCGGTCTTGGAGCGAGACGTGAACCCAGCGATGGGTGACATTAGAAGGGATTTCGACGTGAATTCAAAATATAACTTATTTAAACATATTCTAAGCAAAGCACAGGAACGTAGTATACCATTTAAATTGAATAGATCGAATAATAATGATCCGAAATAGATGACATTTGATCCGAAGAACCTTATAGGTAGAATGACAGCTTGGTACAAAAGGATTTGGAATGGGGAAGTCAGTTTAAATATAAAATTCGTCAAACTGGTTAGAAATGTTAAAAAAAGAGATATGGAGGGCAAAAAGAAACTATAAAGCTCGTATAACAGGACAAGCAAAGACATATCCAAAAGTTTTTTTTACAGTTATTTGGAACAAAGATTAGGGAAAGGATAAGTCCATTAAAACTGAGACAGGTCAGATAACTGATAATGACGAGGAGATGAGTAGTATTTTAAATAAATATTTTATCTCTGTATTTACTAAAAAAACCCTTAACAATACGCCTTCAGCCGAACAGGTCTATGTGAGTGGGGGCAGAGAACAGGTTGACTAGTTTAGCAGTTACCAAGGAGGATGTTATTAAACAAATAGTTAAACTCAAGCCAAACCAATCCTCAGGTCCGGACGAAGTGTTTGCCAGGGTGCTAAAGGAATGCAAAGAGGAGCTTTGTGAGCCGTTGTCTACCATATTTAATAAATTATTAGAGTTAGACAGAGTATCAGAGTCGTGGAAGATTGCTAATGTGGTACCTATTTTTCAAGAAAGGAGATAGATCGCTTGCGTCAAACTATCGGCCAATTAGCTAAGTTAATCGATATAATTATTGGCCAATTACCCCAATACAATTAACGTCTATTGTGGGAAAGTTGCTTGAATCGAAAATTGCAAATATCATACGTCTTTATATTGAAAAAACATAGATTAATAAATGTTTCACAATAAGGTTTTACTAACTGCCGTTCATGTTTAACAAATTTGCTATCATTTTATTCCAGCCTAGTTGTGGCAGTTGTGAGTGGCAAAGTTTGTGGTGTTGTGTACCTTGATTTTTTAGCAAAGCTTTTAATACAAGGCCACATGAAAGACTGATTAAAATGATAGAGGCTCACGGTATTGGGGATGCTATATCAAGTAGGATTAGGGCATGGCTATACCAAAGGAAACAAAGAATTAGTATAAATGAAGTTAAGTCAAAGTTGGAAAATGTTGTAAGTAGAGTGCCTCAAGGCTGCCCGGGACCTCTGCTATTCATAATATATATAAATGATATATTTCTTCTGAAGATGTATTAATATACGAAAGTACTTAAGTAAATTCCTGTTTCAATTCTTCCTCCGTGGTCTGACACTGTCACATTTTTCATCACGTGTTAATTTTCGTGATTTACACACATAAATGATTTAGATTTAGGTTTGAGCAGCAATATTTGCAAATTTGCCGACGATACGAAAATTAGGAGGGAAATAAAAACACGGAAGAAGACTCACTATCAGTTCAAGACGATCTAAATAAGGTTTTAAAATGGTCAAAAGTTGGCAGATGCTGTGTAATGCTGCCAAATATAAGGTTCTGAGGTTAGGTAATAATGATATAGTTACAAGATACGAGCTAGATGGTGATGAGATTGCGAAGTCGGATTACGAAAGGCATCTGGGAGTTATGATTAGTAAGAATTTAAAACCAAATATTCAATGCATAGATGTTTGTAATAAGGCAAATAAGACACTGGGATTTATTTATCGAAGCGTTAGTAATAGAACACCTAATGACACCTGGTGTTATTCTTCACCTGTATCGTGCTCTTGTTAGGCCTCATTTAGGCTATGCAGTTCGTTGACCAAACCACTCACTAGTAAGTGAAGGGACGATGACGTTTCGGTCCGTCTTGGACCATTCTCAAGTCGTGACTTGAGTCAAGTCATCTCAAGTCACAATTGACTTGAGAATGGTCCAGGACGGACCGAAACGTCGTCGTCCCTTCACTTTCTAGTGTGTGGTCTGGTCAACATATTTCCGCCACGTTATTGTGACTCCTCGTCTGCATTATGCAGTTCAGTTTTGGTCGCCCATACTATAGAAGGGATGTAAATGCACCAGAACGCGTCCAGTAGGATGACTGTTAATCCCGCAAATTAGAAACCTGTCTATGAAGAAAGATTGGCAAAGAATTTACATTCTCTAGAAAGGCGAAGAATTAGGCGAAGAACACAAAATAGAACAGGGAACAATGGGTATAAACTAAATAAGTTTAGGTTTAGGAAATTCTTTACGGGTTATTGATGCCTGTGCCACCTCTTGGGTGGCTTTCTCTTCATCAATCAATCAATCATTTAGGAATGATCTGGGAAAATACTGGTTCGGTAACAGGGTTGTTGATTTGTGGAACCAATTACCGGGTAACATAATACAAGTAGGTTCCCCTTGATTGTTTCAAGGTTAAGTTAGACATTTATATATACGAATTAGAGTGGGTGGATATATGTAGGAGCTGCCTAGTATGGGCCAATAGGTCTTTTGCAGTTACCTTCATTCTTATGGAAGGAGAAGGTAGAGCGGGAGGGAGACAGGAGTGGCGCGGAGTGAGTGGTGGAGGTCATTGGTGTTGTGTGTATATATATATATGAGAGAGAAGAGTCATGGTCCATCAGTACCTTATCTCCCTCCTCGAGATGAACACCTTCGGTGTCTTCCTGCCTCTCCTGGCCTCCAGCTGCCTCCTGCTGGGCGTCGCAACACAAGGTCAGTACACACACACACACACACACAAAACAAATGTCTTTGCAACATTGAGTGCAGTAATACAACTATCCATTACGTTGCCGTAACGTTCAATACAATATGGCAATATTTAATGTATGGATGAAGCATTCAACACATGTCTGCAACATGTCTGCAACCTCCACAACATTTATGCAACATTAGACGCTTACTTGCAAAGTTTAGCTAAAAGCCGGAACATTAAATACATAGCTGTAACATTAAGTACAGAACTGGAACATTCAGTACGGAGCAGCAATGAGAATTGAGCAGCAATCAGAATTGAAGAACATAAGGAAGAATGTAGAATTATTGGCTTGATTGGAGGACTGGACCCGAGTTAAACAGCCTCATTACACGTTGAGATGTAAGTCTTGTCCTAATCACACTCTCAGACCTTGACAAAGCACTCAGTACGAAAGACTTGATGTAAATTCCTTACATAAATTTCACAAATACACAGTTGTTTGTTGTTAAAGATTCGCTACCTGGAACAAAGTTCCATGTAGCACGGGCTATGGTGAGCCCGTAACTTGATTGATCAAATACACAAGTGAGGTTTTTTTTTATCCTATGTTATTACGTCTGTGAGAAGACATTATCATTACTTTGTATTATTCTTGGCATTATTAATATTGCTATTTTTTGGAGAACCAGTGGAACAATCCGGGGATTGAAAGCAGATTTCTGGGTTATCCTATCCACCTGCTTTAACCCATTGGACCACGATACACTGTAAGGAATTTAACTTGGGATCCTATTGAATCCACAAGGGGACTTGAGGCACTGAACCGATTCACAATCAAGTTTGTATAAGTTACCCCATAAGTTATTCTGGTGTGGTGGCCATGTACACCCTGGTGTGGTACCCACGTACACTCTGGTGTGGTACCCATGTACACTATGGTGTGGTACCCATGTACGCCCTAGTGTGGGATTGGGAGTTCTTCACCTATGCTCCCTTCAAATACACACAAGGAACTGACAATGGAATGATATCTTATTATGTGAAAATCATTACAGCAATCCGGGGGATTCAAACCAGCATGCTGGGTCACCCCAACCGCGCGCCTGAACCTCCTGGACCACGACATGCTAAAAGTATATTAACCTGGGGTCCTACTGAATCCACTAGGTGTTTTGAGGCACGGAGTTGATACCATATCAAGTTATTACAAATTACTCGGTATTTCACCCTTAGTGGATTCAGTAGGATCTAAAGTTAACGTATTATTACATGGTTCAATGGGTTCGAATCCCCTTCACGGCTCCTACTGATATTCTCATTGATACATCAGGTTAATGTGATTTCATTGTGCATTGTTATTATCACCATCATCAACTGACATCAGCCTGTCCTCCACAGACGTCAAGAAAGGCTCGGCGGTGAGGAATGTGACCCAGGAGCTCACTATCAACAATGGTGTCGACTGGGGCGACTGGGGACCCATTGAGTTCTGTGACGAGGGAAGTTTTGTGCATGGCTTCGAGGTGTTGGTAAGTTATGCAGCTCTGTAGTGATGGTGAGGCGTGTTGACTGGTCTGTGGTGATGGTGAGGCGTGTTGACTGGTCTGTGGTGATGGTGAGGCGTGTTGACTGGTCTGTGGTGATGGTGAGGCGTGTTCACTGGTGATGGTGAGGCATGTTCACTGGTGATGGTGAGGCATGTTCACTGGTGATGGTGAGGCATGTTCACTGGTGATGGTGAGACATGTTCACTGGTCTCTGGTGATGGTGAGGTTTAAGGCCTCTGGAGGGTTATTAAGGTAAGGTAAGAGGGTTATTAAGTAAGACGGAGGGTTAGTAAGGCTGATGTAAGGTTTATGAGCCTCTGAAGGGTTATTAAGACAACCGCATTAACTTACTAACTAACCAGCAAGTTTACATAATCTCTGAATATATATAGTCCGGAACTAAGGTCAACTCTCAATGCATACACGTTGTGATATAAGATATATTTCTTACGAAGTTTATTTGAGATACTAAATATTTTTATTTTTTATTTATCATGAGCATATAGTAATTCAGTATAAATAAAAGAAAGAGTTCAGTGGATTATTTACATTAGAGAAAGTTATAATAATAAAAAAGAATACAACATAGTTTTATAATGTACTATTTAAGTTCAAAAGTAATTTTATAATTTATATTTGTTAATTATTTACAAAAATCATTATGTCTAAGCCTGATTATAACAATTTATACTAATGTTACAATTTTCTTTCCTAACTCGTTGAATTAGGAAAGTTAACCCATTGCACAGCCCAAATTTTCTCGTGCTTTATTATTCTTAAAATTAAGGCAAACTATTATAAACCATGAATATTTATGTATTTATTAATATATACGGGTACCACCTCTGGTGCAAGTGTAGGGACCCATTGCCTCGAAGAAAATATAGAGAAGAACTAGTCCTTATGGATTCTCACTGAACCCTTTAATATTTTTTTTTTCTTCTACCACCCCTATTCTCTTTTTATTAAGTTAATATATATTATTTACTTATTTACAAGAAGGTACATTGGATTAATAAGAATACATAACATTGATGATCTTACATTCTTGCAAAGCCACTAACACGTATAGCGTTTCGGGCGCGGGGGAGGATTGACTGGGCGCCAATCCTTAACTGTACGCCTCTGTTCACCCAGCAGAGAATGGGATGTCACTGTTGGGTGTACATCTTTAGAAAGATGTTCATATCTTTAGAAAAAGTTCCAGGAACACCTCAGGACTCTCCTTTATTATTTGTTTGTTTTATTATTATTTATTTATAATGAAAAACGCTTTACACACGACTCACAGCTGTTGACGTTCGAACACTTCCGGAACAAGTGCTTCACTGACGAATTTTGTTCGAACCACAACGCTGTAAATGCTTCACCCACGTACTACAAATACAAATAATCGCCAACGGAACCTAAACACCTAACCTAACCTGTATGCACAATATGCAAATATATTATAATATTAATTTATATTTGAGAAAATTCCCGTTTTGAATGAACAGCATGTAAAAAAATTATAAATGCGTCTATGGAGTCGACCGCTGGATGGAATGGACCTAAGTCGAGGACGGGTTGCCAAGTTTAGTTGTGGGAGAATGAATGTGGAATTAAGTTGGTGAAGTTCAGTTCTGATTACAGTTTGACCCGACCGGCGCCTTGGACGAGACGGCGGTGAATGGTGTGAAGCTTTACTGCGCTAATGATGACCATTATGACACAGGATACGTCACCTCTACCGTGGGCTTCTCCGGGGAGTGGCAAGGTTAGAGAGAGGGAGAGAGGGAGAGAGAGAGAGAGAGAGAGAGAGAGAGAGAGAGAGAGAGAGAGAGAGAGAGAGAGAGAGAGAGAGAGAGAGAGAGAGAGAGAGAGAGAGAGAGAGAGAGAGTGTGAGAGAGAGAGAGAGAGAGAGAGAGAGTGTGACAGAGAGAGAGAGAGAGAGAGAGAGAGAGAGAGAGAGAGAGAGAGAGAGAGAGAGAGAGAGAGAGAGAGAGAGAGAGAGAGAGAGAGAGAGACTGAGACTGAGACTGAGACTGAGACTGAGACTGAGACTGAGACTGAGACTGAGACTGAGACTGAGACTGACTCTGACTCTGACTCTGACTCTGACTCTGACTCTGACTCTGACTCTGACTCTGACTCTGACTCTGACTATGACTCTGACAAGGGGAAAAAATCACACTCCTCGCTGGCCTAAGTGTGTTAAACAGTGTTCCTGACCCCCTGCAGGAATGCGAGTGTGCCACGAGGGCTTCATGACGGGGTTCAGGGCGGAGGTGCTGGAGCCTCAGGGCGTCGTACACGACGACGTCGCTGTTGAAAACGTCGAGATGCAGTGCGGGTATAATGGAGAAATATTTGCCGGCGTGCTCGATCTTCCTAAGGTGAGTCAGGGGGGAGGAGGAGGTAGTAGAAGGGAAGATTAAGAAGGAAAATGAGTAGGAGGAAGGGTATGACCAGGCTGTGACTCATACGTCAGGCTGCGAGCAGCCGCGTCCAACAGCCTGGTTGATCAGTCCGGCAACCAGGAGGCCTGGTCAACGACCGGGCCGCGGGGACGCTAAGCCCCGGAAGCACCTCAAGGTAAGGTATGTTAGTAAGTGGGTTATTTGTGTTTTAAGTTGTGAGATGAGGTTTAAGTCCTCAAGGCAATGTAATAACTTGCAAGGAAACTTACCTTAATCCAAGATATACAACGTAGAGGAGTGGGTAAGGAGCTCCCGTAAGATACAGGAGAAACAAGACTTTCCCTTAACTGCGGGGGTAAGCGGAGGTCCCTGTGTTTCAACGAAGAGAAAAAGAGGTAGAGACAACTTTTACCTTACCAAAGCCTTTGAGCCTTGATATCAGAGAAAGCCTCATGCGCAGCAATCTGGAAATTTGAAAATAGGAAAGTTATATAACTAATTAATCAGAATATGTCACTTTTAGTATTGAACTAAATTAATTCAATAATTTCATAAATGCTTAATTTTCGTTCAGCCTTTTGCTCTACTCAAAGATGTATTTAATTTGTTTTAAGAAGAAGTAATTTATATTAAACTCAGCATAATAAAACACACTATCATCAAAGCCTTAAATGTTCAAAAGGAACATTTAAGCTAAAACTATTACAAAAATGCATTAAAAAAGAACGTAATGCATGTTTTCAATTAATATCAAACCGATTAAATATGTTAAAATCCCATTTGTAAGGAGCAAAAAACGGTCTTGTTAGTAAACCCGTTAAACCAGTGATTGGTAATTAGGGCGCTAATTAACACAGCTTCTTGTTCCCTATCAGTTTACTCCTGGCACGTGGAGTGACTGGCAACAATGCGAGCAGGGATCCACGGTGTGCGGTTTACAGGTGAGTGTATTGTATTGTATGTGAGTGTATTGTATTGTATTGTGAGTGTATTGTATTGTATGGGAGTGTATTGGATTGTATGTGGGTGTATTGTATTATATGTGAGTGTATTGTATTGTATGGGAGTGTATTGTATTATATGTGAGTGTATTGTATTGTATGGGAGTGTATTGTATTATATGTGAGTGTATTGTATTGTATTGTGAGTGTATTGTATTGTATGGGAGTGTATTGGATTGTATGTGGGTGTATTGTATTATATGTGAGTGTATTGTATTGTATGTGAGTGTATAAACAATGGCCAAATGCTTGTCTTGGCCAATAACACAGTCACAGCCCCGCTCCTGTGCCAGGAAAGTGTACTACGGGCTCGCCATAGCCCGTGCTGCTTGGAACGTTTTGTTCAGAGTAGCTGAATCTATAACAACAAGCTTATTAATCCAGGCCCCAAACCTCCTGTTTACGAATAAACTCCAGTTTACCATTCCACGCCTGATAGCTGGGTGGACAGCGCTTCGGATTCGTAGTCCTGAGGTTCCGGGTTCGATCCCCGGTGGAGGCGGAGACAAATGGGCAAAAGTTTCTTTTATCCTGATGCCCCTGTTACCTAGCAGTAAATAGGTACCTGGGAGTTAGACAGCTGCTACGGGCTGCTTCCAGGGGGTGGAGGCCAGGTCGAGGACCGGGCCGCGGGGACACTAGGCCCCGAAATCATCTCAAGATAACCTCAAGATACACGTGATTTCACAATTACGTTCGAACGTTTCTTGAAAAGTGCTTTCCACTTTTCGTGTGTTCGAATCCCACCTGTCTAAATGCTTCGCTCACGAACTGCATATCTAAATAATTGCCAAGAGAACCAAAGCATCTAACCTAACCTAACCTAACCTAACCTAACCTAACCTAACTTAGAACTAACCTAACCTAACCTAACCTAACCTAACCTAACCTAACCTAACTTAGAACTAACCTAACCTAACCTAACCTAACCTAACTTAGAACTAACCTAACCTAACCTAACCTAACCTAACCTAACCTAACTTAGAACTAACCTAACCTAACCTAACCTAACCTAACCACCTAACTTAGAACTAACCTAACCTAACCTAACCTAACCTAACTTAGAACTAACCTAACCTAACCTAACCTAACCTAACCTAACCTAACTTAGAACTAACTATAGACAAAATTTTATTATATCAATAATTTGTGTATAAGAAAATAATGCAGCTCTTTAAAGTAAAAAAATCACAGATGTGTCGGTGTGGGGCTGCAAGAATATGGCTTACAACCCTTTAACAACTTATTCGCAGGCTAGGCTCGTTCAAGCGGTGGCCAACCCCTCAAAGATGCATTCGTCAATTTTAACGTTTTTTTGTATTCTAAATTTGGCAAAAGACGTGACTGAAGTACTTGTTTGAGACTTGTCTGTGTACTTACCTAGTTGTGATTGCGGGGGGTTGAGCTCTGGCTCTTTGGTCCCGCCTCGGGACGTGGTGTGTTGTGGTAGTATATATATATAGTATATATATATATATATATATATATATATATATATATATATATATATATATATATATATATATATATATATATATATATATATATATATACCTTCGGTGTTTCATGGTGTTATTTACGCAAATATATATACCTGTAGTATGAACTAATATGTCCCTAACGGTGATAGTACCTGAGGTGTTCCTTACGGTGTTCCTTACGGTGTTCCTTACGGTGTTCCTTACGGTGTGTTGCAGGTGCGGTTTGAGGCCGTGTCTGTTGGGGACGATGCTGCCACTACCGACCTCAGCATGTATTGCTGCAAGCACCAGTGAGGTCTTCTCCTTCTTCACCTGGTGCACCTGTTCTTCTGTTCCATCCCTCTTCATCCACGACGACACCTTTGAGAACTACTAATGAGAAATTGTTGCTCCTCACTCAACCCCACATCATACAAGGAGCTGGAAATAAAACTAAGAACTATTTGACACCTTTGGGAAATATTTGACATCATTGAACACTGTTTGATACAAATGGGTACTATTTGGCACCGTTGGGGAACCATTTGACACCGTTGGGGAACCATTTGACACCACTGAACAATCTGGGACACATTTGGACACTATTTGACACTTCAGGTTACTACTTCGAGTAATATTATTATTTTCTAGATGCTCAGACCAGGCCATGGGTAGGTTCAACCACTAATTAGGTCAAGAGAATAGCCCGTCCTCATCAACTAGCCCGTCCTCATCAACCAGCCCGTCCTCATCAACCAGCCCGTCCTCATCAACAAGCCCGTCCTCATCAACTAGCCCGTCCTCATCAACCAGCCCGTCCTCATCAACCAGCCCGTCCTCATCAACCAGCCCGTCCTCATCAACCAGCCAGTCCTCAACAACTAGCCCGTCCTCATTAACCAGCCCGTCCTCATCAACTAGCCCGTCCTCATCAACTAGCCCGTCCTCATCAACTAGCCCGTCCTCATCAACCAGCCCGTCCACATCAACCAGCCCGTCCTCATCAACTAGCCCGTCCTCATCAACCAGCCCGTCCTCATCAACTAGCCCGTCCTCATCAACCAGCCCGTCCTCATCAACTAGCCCGTCCTCATCAACCAGCCCGTCCTCATCAACTAGCCCGTCCTCATCAACCAGCCCGTCCTCATCAACTAGCCCGTCCTCATCAACCAGCCCGTCCTCATCAACTAGCCCGTCCTCATCAACCAGCCCGTCCTCATCAACCAGCCCGTCCTCATCAACCAGCCCGTCCTCATCAACTAGCCCGTCCTCATTAACCAGCCCGTCCTCATCAACTAGCCCGTCCTCATCAACCAGCCCGTCCTCATCAACCAGCCCGTCCTCATCAACCAGCCCGTCCTCATCAACCAGCCCGTCCTCATGAACCAGCCCGTCCTCATCAACTAGCCCGTCCTCATCAACCAGCCCGTCCTCATCAACCAGCCCGTCCTCATCAACTAGCCCGTCCTCGTCAACCAGCCCGTCCTCATCAACCAGCCCGTCCACATCAACCAGCCCGTCCTCATCAACTAGCCCGTCCTCATCAACCAGCCCGTCCTCATCAACTAGCCCGTCCTCATCAACCAGCCCGTCCTCATCAACTAGCCCGTCCTCATTAACCAGCCCGTCCTCATCAACCAGCCCGTCCTCATCAACCAGCCCGTCCTCATCAACCAGCCCGTCCTCATCATCAAAGAAGACCAAATGGTTGTTAGTCCAACTGTAAAAGACCTTGTTTGTGAATAAAAAACGCTCTACACACGACTCACAACTGATGACGTTCAAAGATTTATCGAAAAGTGCTTCGCTGACGGCCCGTGTTCGAATCCCAACGCTGTAAATCCTTCACCCACTTACTAAACATACCAAAAAATATTGCCAACAGAACCTAAACAGCAAACCTAACTTAACATAACCTACACATAAATATACACAATATGTAATATATTATATTAATAAATAGTTGAAAAAATTCCTGTTTTGAATGAAGAATAAGTCCAAATTGATGAATGTATCTTTGGGTTCGGCCGCTGGATGGACGTGCACGCCACGAGGACGGGGTCGAAAGACTGAGGGATGAGTCAAAGACGTAATATATAGACAAAGCATCACCCATATGCTAAGGTTGCATATGGATGATGTATATATTAAACAATATATGTATATATTGTTTAATATATACATATATTGTTTGTATATATTAAACAACCCTGAACCTCTTTGCAACATTCAAATATGCAATAAAAAAACAAATTATGCAATTAGAAAATATAAATACTGTTACACTGTTATAAATGTTACACATTTATAAATACTGTTCATTTATTTTTTAATGGAACGTTAAATGTTTAATAAATATTTTATATTACATTGAATTTAATATAGTAATGTAATTTATGGGATGGAAAACTTATCTCTACACAGTTGAGTGAAGCGATACAGTGCTTGAACGGTGCGATACGGTGCCTGAATTCCGCGATACAGTGCCTCAACGCAGCACTGTATCTCATCTCTAGCACTTGAGCATCTTTATGACAACCTACAGCACGGATAAATTGAGATTTAGCAAAGTCTTGGGTAAATACTTGTTCGGTAACAGGGTTGTTGATTTGTGGAACCAATTACCACTAAATATAGTGGAGGTGGGGTCCCTCGATTGTTTCAAGCGTGGGTTGGACATGTATATGAGTGGGATTGGGTGGTTATAGATAGGAGCTGCCTCGTATGGGCCAATAGGCCTTCTGCAGTTACCTTTGTTCTTATGTTCTTATCCGCCTCTCTCCTCTGTGGTTCACTCTCCTACAGTTACCGTGAAAGTTGAGGATGTCCTACACTCGCAGGGAAATTCATGACACAGTTTTTGCACATGATGCAACGGGATATAAAAAATACTCTGTGGTGTTCTTCTTCAGCCCATATGTGCGGATATGGTCAATTTGGGACCCCTATGTCAACATACACACACACCTCACTGGAAGACAGAAGAGTGAGGGGGAGACATGGCCACTACCTACAAAATCCTCAGGGGAATTGACAGCGTAGAGAAGAGTAAACTATTCAACACTGGTGGTGAACGAACAAAGGGACACAGGTGGAAACTGAGTAACCAAATGAGCCACAGGGACGTTAGAAAGAAATTTTTCAGTGTCATAGTAGTTAACAGATGGAATGCATTAGGCAGTGATGTGGTGGAGGCTGACTCCATACACAGTTTCAAATGTAGATATGGTAGAGCCCAGTAGGCTCAGGAATCTGTACATCAGTTGATTGACAGTTAAGAGGCGGGACCAAAGAGCCAAAGTTCAACCCCCGAAAGCACAAATAGGTGAGTACACACACTCTGCATTCAACACTGGCAAAAGTTAGAACATCATTCAGAAACCTAAGTAAGGAGGCATTTAGGGCGCTTTACACTGCCTAAGTGAGGCCAGTCTTAGAGTATGCCGCGCCATCATGGAGTCCCCACCTGAAGAAGCATATAATGAAACTGGAAAAGGTTCAGAGGTTTGCAACGAGAATCGTCCCAGCGTTATGAGGGATGGGGTATGAAGAGCGCCTGAAGGAACTGAGCCTTACGACACTAGAAAAAAGAGGGGAGAGGGAGGATATGATAGGAACGTATAAAATACTCAGGGAGAATGACGGAGTGGACATAGACGAAATGTTCACACGGAATAGTAACAGAACGAAGGGACATGGGTGGAAGCTGGAAACTCAGATGAGTCACAGAGATGTTAGGAAGTTTTCTTTTAGCGTGAGAGTAGTGGGAAAAAGGAATGCACTTCAGGAACAGGTTGTGGAAGCAAATACTATTCATAATTTTAAAACTTAGATATGATAGGGAAATAGGACAGGAGTCATTGCTGTAAACAACCGATGGCTCGAAAGGCGGGATCCAAGAGTCAATGCTCGATCCTGCAGACACAAATAGGTGAGTACACACACACACACCCTTACGGTTGAGTGGACAGCGCTAGGGGGGGGGGTCGTAGTCCAAATGTCCTGGGTTCGATTCCCGGCGGAGGCGAAAACAAATGGGCAGAGTTTCTTTCACCCTGCTGCACCTGTTCACCTAGCAGTAAAATAGGTACCTGGGAGTTAGACAGCTTCTGCGGGCTGCTTCCGGCAGATATGTGTGTATGTGTGTGTGTGTGTGTTAGAGATAAACATACGCTATAGACATAATATAGGAAAAAATAGACTGGCTTGAAAGGCGGGGTCCGAGAGCTAAATAGCTCGATTTTTACAGACACAGATAGTAAAAATACACATGAAAAAGACACGCTGTTCGTACACAGCAATAAACACCGACTTTGTTGTAATATTCAAGAGCAACATTGGTCACTCTCGTTCTCTAAATACAAACACACAAAAGTGATATTTTATTTCCTATAATAAAATTAAAGACTAATTGGTATACAGAGCTGATGTAAATATTCTCTTTATGGTCATAAGTCACAGTTACACACGTAAACAAATATATATTTGCAAGGTCTTATTTTTATATTTAAATAAAATATATATATATAAATATATTTATTAATGATAATATATATATATTTCTGAATGTTGTTTGGAAGTTACCGACAATGGTCTATTAAAAGAGCCTCGTTAACACTGACTCATTGATGAGGCGAGGGGTCCATATTCTTATCTCAGATGAGTAAGGAAGATGACTGATGAGTAAGGAAGATGACTGGTGCGTAAGGAAGATAACTGATGAGTAAGGAAGATGAGTGATGAGTAAGGAAGATGACTGATGAGTAAGGAAGATGAGTGATGAGTAAGGAAGATGACTGATGAGTAAGGAAGATGAGTGATGAGTAAGGAAGATGACTGATGAGTAAGGAAGATGACTGATGAGTAAGGAAGATGAGTGATGAGTAAGGAAGATGAGTAAGGAAGATGACTGAGATAAAGAAGATGAGTGATGAGTAAGGAAGATAACTGATGAGTAAGGAAGATGAGTGATGAGTAAGGAAGATGACTGATGAGTAAGGAAGATGACTGATGAGTAAGGAAGATGACTGATGAGTAAGGAAGATGATTGATGAGTAAGGAAGATGACTGATGAGTAAGGAAGATGACTGATGAGTAAGGAAGATGACTGATGAGTAAGGAAGATGACTGATGAGTAAGGAAGATGACTGATGAGTAAGGAAGATGAGTGATGAGTAAGGATGATGAGTGCTGTCAGTGATGAGAGTGATTAGATAGTGTAGGAAATGAGTTAAAAGTTAAGGTGAGAGTTTAACTCTCTCTCTCTCTCTCTCTCTCTCTCTCTCTCTCTCTCTTGCTCTTCCTCGCTCCACATTTATTCGTCTGCTCACTAAATTTTATTTTCCAGATACGAATGTGATTGACGCCAGTAAATTATCGCTGATGAAATAATATATTTCAGTAAGGTATATCCAGACTGAATCCACCAGCGGTGGAGGAAGATACACTTCCGATGGATTATCACACATCAACCACGTAGTTGAGTTGTGGTTGTGCTCAGAGGGGAGATGTGGTTGTGCTCAGAGGGAAGATGTGGTTGTGCTCAGAGGGAAGATGTGGTTGTGCTCAGAGGGAAGATGTGGTTGTGCTCAGAGGGGAGATGTGGTTGTCTTCAGAGGGGAGTTCAGTGAGGAACCCCTGAATCTATTTTCTTGGTTCATAATACTGTGACATCTATTGGGTGTTGAAGACTGCTTTTGTATCCATGTATCCGGTAACGAAAGCTGCTTCTAAGTTCGTCTATCCGGTGATGTAGACCTACTTGAAATGTCCTTCTATCCGGTGTGAAAGAGTTATTCCACGTTCGTCTATATGGTGTTG